GGAAAGAGCAAGAGCCCTAATCTCAGGTCTGGGGAATTATAGGGTAAATATGCCCAGAAAGGGGGCAGAAAACTACAGCAGCCTTTTGCAGCCCTTGCAGGGGACACAGAACAGCTCTGGCAGCCACAACCCTGCCCTGGAGATCAACCCACCTCCTTTTTCCATCCACCCCAAGCACATCCCAGCCTCCAAGGAAAGGAGCATTTTGGGCTCCACCAGCTCAGCTGCCCCCAGACTCTGGCACTGCACAACCCCACCAACCCCTCCTGAACATGTTTAGGGGTCCCCTAAAAGCCTTGGGCTGCACTGGGAACCAAGCCGAGCTCCACAGCTGGATGGGATGCAGAAGCATCACAGAGACACATCTTGCAAAGCCAAACTCCCATTTCTCCTTTTGGGCTTCACAAGGGACTGGAGAGTTGGTTCAATATTTCAGTACCCTACTGGCCTTGGTCTGGGGCAGCTCAGGAGGTGGGGCTGCCATCCCAGGGTGGGCACACAAACCACTGCTGAATAAAACCAAGCTTCAGAGGAGCAGTGCTGGGTGACCCTCCCAGGGGTGTCACGCTGGCCCTGATGGGGACAGGAGAAGGTGGAGGGAGGGTCACCAGCCATATGGAACTCCTCTGGCAGGCAAGCAAAACCTCTTGCTGCAGAGATACATTTTCTTGAATTGATGTCACCTGGCAGCACAAAGTTATGGCCTGAAAAGTGACTCTGGGAAGGAGCAGCATCTCGGGCTTCTATATTTATTCTCCTCCAATGACGTCCATGGCAGATCTGCACGGTTTGCAAGTCGATGGGGAGGGTTTGTTGGTTGGTTGTTTTTTTTTTTGCCAGCTGCCAGCACTCTCAGCCCAAGCTGAGAAACTCCCATCCTTCCTCTCCCGGAGGGTCCCACCACTTCCAAGCTCACCCCAACCCCACACCCAAGGAGGGTCGAGCACTAACGTGGGGCACGGGAGCAGGTTTTTGGGCTCGGGCAGAGCGTGGATGTTTGCTGAACCTCCTGCCCTAGCCCGGGCTCTGCTCTCAGGGTTTTGCTCTGCAGCTCACGAGCTAATTCAATGAAATGTCTGCCTGGTAAATTAGCCTGGCCGCTGCCTTCCCAGAGTCATCTCCTAGGGCCTAATTGGAAAAAAACAGCAGCAGGGGCTGCCTTTTCAAAACAGATTATGGCAGCAAACAACAGGACAGCTCCCCGGGTGGCTGTGGCCTGCCCCACATGGGATTCAGGTGGATCAATCCACAGCTGCAAACCTTGGTGAGGGGAGGAGGACAGCAGCAGCATTCCCCCTCCTCAGCCATGGGGCAGGACTGGTGCCCAGGGAAGGCTGCAATCCTGCAAACTTGCTGCATGTTGGATGCTCCAGCTTGCAAGGCTCCCATAGAGTCACGAGGCAAAAGAAATGAGGAGAACCCCCCCAATGAGCCAAGCTGAAATTAAATCTCACCCAAAGAGTGATGGCAACGTGGGATGCAAGAGGATGCAGGGGGCTGGATCCAGCTAACAGCCCCCACAGCCACCCTCTACCTCCAGCACTCACCCCTGGGCTTCTTGCCCAGGTTCCAACCCCTGGGTCAATTTGAAGCCTTTCAATTCTTAATTAAGGGATCACCAGGGAGCTGAACCTCAGTCCATCCCAGGCCCTGTGAACACTGATTTTTGGAGGACATGCAAATCATTCCTTTGATGTCCCTGTACATATAAACATGCTTAAGCCCCATATTTTTTTGGGGGGTGGGGGGGTGAAAGTGGCAGGATGGAGCCAGCCCCTTCTGCCTTTTGATATGCTGTTAATAAATATATTATTAAAGCATCTTTAAGGCATAAGAATTGCTCTTGTCTGTGGGTGATCAGATTGATCTTGCTCCCTCCTGGAGCAGCACAGGGCTCTGTGGCTGGGCCTGCCCCAGCCGTATCTGAGTTCAGACCAGCCTGGGGACAGAAATCACAGCAGCAGTTGGGAGAACTTGGATTTCATCTTGCTGCAGAGAACCTTCAAAAAAGGTTTTTCCCCAACAGAAAAGGTGTTTCCTGTGACCTGTTTCCTACTTTCTGTGCCATGAGCCCTTCGGTGCCCCAAGCCCAGCAGTTTTGCAAGGGAAGTGCCAGCCAATACCTGGCTCCTTGCTCCCAGCCACCACAAGGTCATGGAGGTGACACTGTCCCCCAGCTGAGGCTCCAGCAATTTCCAATCTGTCATCAAAACCAAAAACCCTGTGCCCTGCTGCAAGCCTGGCCTGGCTTTCCCTCCACCGCCACCTCCTCCCAGCCCAGGGGTAGGGAAGAGGAAACGGAGATGAAGTTTTGAAACCAGCTCTTTTCTTGCAAA